TTTTTTTTTTTTTTTTTTTTTTTCAGGAAGGAGCTTATCTCCAATCCCAGGCTGTGCTCACATCCACTCCCCATCTCATTATCAGAGTCCTTATGGGTATTCTTACTGTTTACAGCTTTCTTGCTTCTGACCCCTTCAGCTACTGAATACGAGACAGATATATCTTCCTGGATCGTTATTATTAAAGACTCAATGGTCCTTGACGGTTCCTGCCCAAGTATGTTGGAAAAGATCTTTCAGACTTCTTTACAGAGTTGCTATATATAAAGTCCAAAGAAAGTCATATCACCAATGGAATGACCTTTAAGTGCTTCTAATCACCTGCCATCTAATCCTACTGTTGCTGTGTGTACTTTTGCTTTCTTCATCCTAGCCTCCTTCTCCTGGTAATCATTTTATTTCTCCCGCATTTTGCTCTCGATGTATCCCAAGTGATCACTCCTCCCCTCAGGTCCAACAGATCCCCTTTCGACCGTTGCTGTTCAATTCTTTATAACTCCATGCAGGAGTTGCGCCAAATGGAAGATGACTTTCCGACACCTTTGGATGATGAGAGATTGGAAGTTCCCAATTTGCTTTTAAATTGAATTGATATTCAGTTGTCGGGTGACATTAGTGAAATTATCGTCCGTTATGGCAACTTTTGACTTTTATTATCCAAATCCTTCTTCATCTATATAACCTTCTCATTGGCGTTTGAATTAATTCTCCTGAACTTTATACGCAAGTTCTGGCAGGGTATAGAACCAAATACCATCTGAGCCCGTTGAGTAAATTTAAAAATCTAGAGAAATCTTGCCGGTGACTGAGATCCTCAATTAACAGCTTGTTTACTACTGCACCTCTCCTTGCGTATGCCATATTTTGGCGGATCGCTGTGATCGAATCCTAATCTTCTGTTCTTAGAAGGTATGTCTTTACCTAATATTCGATTCCGTGGTTAGTGGCTCTAAATTCTCTCATACATTCATATGGTCTGGTAGATCACCAGCGTCTGCTATTGAAGGTGTCATTAAAGAAGCTGTAGGCGCTTGCTGCGATGAGACATTTTTCTCTGAGCTAATCTGCTCATTGATATGAACTCAAACTCTGCGGTTAACCCTAATTGTAATATCAATTATGATAATGAATTTGTGGGAACGTAGCCCTTGACGCGGACGGCCTCATCCAGACTTCTGGCAAGTTTGAATTTGTGTTCTAACTGCTTTAAACAATCAGGTCGACAGATTTTCGGCAGCTTTGTTCTAAACATCAAGCATTTTGATTATTATTTTAGGGTAAGTTGGAAAATTGGCATGCCTACCTACTGTTTGACCCATTGTGAGCTGGCATTCATTGTGGTGAAGGCAAGTTGGCAGAATAGATGAATTATTTCATTGTTCCTAAAACATTATGATATTCAAGGGTTGGATTAAGTTGAGGCACTAGATGGTATATTCGATTGTTAGAAAATTCATACAACAATTAATAGGTAGTTAGTTTAACTTGGGATAAAAGAGCTAGGCAAGATAGATTAGGGCGGATATTTGGTCATTTTCAAAAGAATGCAACAAGAAGTTAAATTAGACATCTGTGATTATTAATCACATAGCGAATATGGAAGATTTCATTAGATGGAGAAAATAAGCTGGAAGTTGAATCTTGATAGAAATTGGATGCATTTGCTATATGTCAAGGAAATCAATGTAAACTTTGGACTATTTACTAGATATGTGAATGATGGAGACTTACGGAATTATGAATTAAGGAACACTATGTAGGTAAGTATTCCCTAACTCTACACACTCCAACAGATACCTATGGACCCGAAGCCACTTCATCCCTCCGCCCTATAGATAACTTAAAGATTCCCAAATCTCTCTCTCCCCTCCCCAAGATTCAAAAATAAATGCCCAGACCCAAGGTACCCTGTGTCTCAACAAGTAGGTTCGGCGACCCCTCAAAGGTGGTAGGGGTGTCACCTTGAAGCATCATAGAAGGAGTTGCCGCAATGCCAGACATAGACTTGGGAGTAGTAGCAACATCTTGACAACCTGCCTCAGTTTTCAATCTAGATCGCATCTCCGCCGCGAGATCCACATCGAGAGATCCAGGCATTTCAGCGGCTCGCTGAACCGCGCTCGGTCGCGGAGTCAGCAACCCTTCATCCTCATCCTCCTCCATCCTCAAGCATCTCAAAACCTCCCCCCTTTCTCCCCTCCTCTCCGCATATTTCTCTCTCTCCTCTCTCTCCTGTCTCTCAGCCACCCTCTCCGTCACTGCTCGGGTGACGCACGTGGGACACCGTTGCCTCACTCGCAATATCTTAAATGAGATCTTTTGCCCGGCTTTTTTCTCGCTGCATCGATCGAGTTCGTTCGATGGGTTTGCGATGTCCCGGTAATTTCCGCATCGCTCTAGCTCGATTTTGGATCCGGTTTTCGTTGGGCAGTCGATGAAACAGCCGTATGTGATATGGTTTAAGAGACACATCTTGATAGAGGGTTCGAAGGACTGACAGAGGTATATCTACATAGCAGATTACCAATGCTGTATTAAACCGCAAACTTTGTAAGATTGTAGGTGGGGAATCTTGTAATATTTTGTAGGTAGTTTGTGATGTTGATATTATTGTAGGCAGCTCACCAGATCATTGGGATCTAATAAGTACCATAACGTGTGAACAACGAGCAATGTGTACGGCCCAAAACAACAACTTGGTTGGTCATCTAGATATATTAGTACAGGAGATTGTAAGAATATTACTCTGCCGTATGAAAATGAACGGTAGGCTCTAATTCGTGTGAGTGGCATAGCCATTCGTTGATTCTACATTGTTCCATGCTTCCAACTTTTAAGCCCCAAGGTTTGAGCATATTTTGTCGAATGCTGGCTCTCAACATAGTTTCCATTACGATCTTGAGATAAAAAGTAAAAGGAATGATTTAAGATATCAAAAAATTTAAAAGATTTCAACCAGCCTGCCAGCTACATAATGTGATTTCCCAAGTGAAAATCAACACTTGATCGTGTTACCATAGCAACTACAACCCAAGCTTTGCAAACAGAACCGAGAATCCAATTCAATTATGAACTTTGCCTGAACAGAGTATCAACGATCCAATCCTCAAATTGTGAATCTTATTATTACAATACCCATTTGGGAAATGATGGGGATTTCATTTTCATTTGCCTCAAGGCAAGGTAAGGTAAGCGAGGGGGTAAAACCACAACCCATTCATTCAACAACTAACTTTGTAACCACAGCCAAATATTTTCAAAAAAAGCATATGCATAATTCCATCAAAAAAATCCCATACGTGTAAGTGGCCAATCTTGCATCAATCTATCTCCACATAATTTCATGAATTGGGATTTTCCACCCAAATGTCCCTTTGATTTAAGTCACTGCAAGTCAAAACCTAACAACCTATCTATCACTTGCATCATCCTCAAATCAACATTCAAGATTACCTACAATATCAGCTTCAGCAGCCCACCTTGAAATATCGACTTTCCCCTGCCCAAGCTTACAGAAAACCCCCCCATGACTTCTTCGCCACCTGATGCTTGCTCGGTGTCGGTCAAGTTCCAGACATTTAACATTTAACATCACGAAGAGCTTGGTATATAAATTGCTCAGAGCACCCAGACACATTTCGTTGCGAAAGATTGCAAAAATTCTGACTTATTTTGTACTTCTCATTTCTCTAATCGTGTGTACCTAGGTAGCTAGGAGGCAATAAAGGTAGCCATAAGACATGCTATCTATGTTCTAGCCTTAAAACCCAGCCCGGGGATCGAACTCCTCAATGCCAAACTACTCAAAACGACACTAATACTACTCATTGCCATAGCCAAACTCGCCCAAACGGGATCCAATCTAATATGTTTGCCTCCACTAACAATTGAGTAGAGGACACCTGCTGCAACAGGAAGTGCAACGAGGTTGTAGATCAACGCCCATGCGAAATTGAATTTGATCCTTCTGAAGACCACTTTGCTGAGATCCAATAAAGTAATCAGAGAATTGAGATTACTGGAAATCAACACGAATTCGGCAGAGGAAATGGCAATATCAGAACCGGATCCAATCGCGATCCCAACATCCGCAACGGTGAGAGCAGGAGAGTCATTAATACCATCTCCGACCATTGCAACCAAAGCTCTTTTCGTAGAGGAATCATTTCTCTTAGAACGATGTGAAGGGAGCGATTTCTGAAGATAAGAGATCTGTTTGGCTTTCTCGGAGGGGAGAACGCCGGCGATGACATTGGAGGATGGGATCCCAACCTGTTGGCCAATGGCGATTGCCGTGGTGGGATTATCACCAGAAAGCATCCAAACATCTGTACCGCGTTCTTTGAGTGCTGAAATAAGGGAGACGGCCTCTGGGCGAATAGGATCAGAGATAGCGAAGATGGCTGCGAGTTCGTATGGGCCACCGGCCTGAGACCAAGCAACCAGAGCGACAGATTTGCCTTGAGTCTTCCAAATATTCATCTGGATTTGGAAAGTGGATATTTTGACGCCGTATTGCTGTATTAGGTTCTCGTTGCCTATGAGAATTTGAGAGCTATCGAAAGTAGCTTTCATTCCATAACCAGGAATTTCCTCGATATTTACTAGAGTAGTCGCGCCTTTTGATTTGTTGGCACAGAACGAGACGATAGCTTTGGCAACCGTATGGCTGCTGTTTTCTTCTGATACTTTGATCATATTAAGTAGATTTTGTTCTTTGTCTGCATCTTTTGCGACAAATTCGTAGTCTGTAACAGTCGGTTGACCCCCAAGGGTTAAAGTCCCAGTTTTATCGAAGACAACACAATCAAGCATACTCGCTTTCTCAAAAGCTTCACCACCACCCTTCACTAGAATACCGTGATGTGCTGCAAGACCGCCACCCACGAAAAGTGCGGTAGGAGCTGCTAATGCTAGACCACATGGACATGCCACAACAAAGACAGCAATGGAAAATT